ACACACACACACACACACACACACACTTGTTATTATGAACAACAGTCGACGTGTGTGAATGTGTCAGTCCTACTGAAGGGCCTACAGGAGGTGATGGAGTCATCACAACAGACTGGATCCGGCCCGGGGAGTCCCTCCTCCTCTTCCTCCTCGCTCCAGATCCGTCTCGCCCGACTGGAGGAGAGCGGCAGCAGCCCCGCCCCCAGCTCTGTGGCGGCGCTGCAGATTCCCGTCCAGATCCCGCTGCAGATCACACATCTGGGTGAGACTCACCGCAACATCTGTCTTGATTTAACAGTAAACTGGTTTCACAGAGACATCGTGACGATGTCCGCTGCTCTTGTATAATAATAATATTAACAATAATAACAGTCCAATCTGCAGATCTGCGTTGCTGAGCTCTGTTTCCTGTTTGTTAATCTCTCAGCTGCAGATTCCTCAGCAGCCGCCAGCGACAGTGAAACCATCACTCTGAACACAGGAGCTCTGCAGACCTTCGAGATTCTGCCTGTACGTTCTTTTTTCTTTGTCCCTGTAGATTCTGGACTTTACACCTCAGCTGGGTTTGATTCTTAACTGAGACCTGATTCTATCGAATAGTTGTTATAAATCTTGTGTTGTTATATTTCGGTAACAGCATCTAGAACTTTCTAACGTTTCTTCGTCTTCACTCCTTCGTTCTCTTCATCTTTCCCTTTAGTCGTTCCACCTGCAGCCCACCGGCACCCCAGGGACCTACTACCTCCAGACGACGTCCAATCAGGGCCTGCCGCTCAGCCTCTCCACCGGTCAGGGCCTCCCTCTCAGTTTGTCTGGTAACAGCACTGTTACCTTGACGACAGGCTCGTCCCCGTCGCCACACGAACACATCATCCTTCACAGCCTGTCGGTCAGTTTGAAAAAGTTCTGTTCCCACCCGGGCCCCTGACTCCTCGGGCCCCCGGGTCTGTTCATGGGTCCAGTTTATTTGATTTGGATTTTCCCTCCTCAGACGGACGGCCTCTGCTCCAGCGACGGTGTCATCATCCAGACGGTCACCTCTGACCCCGCCTCCTCCGACCCTCTTAGCCAATCACAGCTGGTGGTGGAGACGGAGGGGCAGGGCCAGGAAAACCACCTCGACGCCACAAGTCTCCTGGAGAGTTCAGAGAGCGTCGTCACGGAAACACAGGAGCCAATGACAGACGGCTTCACCGACAAGGTTTAAACTCTAGATCCATTATTTACGTGTTTCTAGAAAAAGCTCTGAACATGAAGTCACTGTTTCACTGTGTTCGTGTGTCAGGAGATGAGCTCCCCCTCTGTTGAGGATCAAGTGGTGCATTCTGGGATATCATCTGGCAGCTCTGTGCTGATTGTGTCACCCCCCAACATCAGCAGCACACTGACAGGTAGCACACACGCACACACACACAAAGCCATTGCATCTTAACAGCTAACAACCAGACATTGTTTTCCTCAGATCCAATCTTAGAGAACCAGGAAGGTTCAGACTGAGCTGAACCTTCATCTCCACGACGACAGCAGCGCTCTGAGTTGAACTGTGAGTTGAAGTCTGACGCTCGTCCCTGGTTTAATCCAGGATGTGAACATTAAAAGAAACAGACTTCTGAATCTGTCTGAAGCTTCATGTGTTTGAAGCTTTGGTTTGAAACCCCCTGGAAGAAATGTGAACGCTCCTCTCGCCCTCGGCCGTCAGCGACGTCCTCTCAGCTTCTACAGTGCCAAAGAGACTCTAAAGGCTGTGATGGAAATATGGGCGTTTTCATCAGGACAACCTTTTTTAAAAGAAGGAAGAGGAAATATTCTGAATCGAATGAAAAATAAATCCTGTCCAGAGCAATTTGCTTGTTTTTTAAAGAGGACCCCGGGTTTTTCTGCTTCTACTCATTTTAGTGAACTCTGTGAAATTGAATGAACTTTATCTGATAGATAAACGAAGTAGAGTTAAAAATGTTTCTCTGTAGAATCTTGTGAAGTTGAGAGAAAATGTGAAAGAGTCCTTCAGGTTACATAATTATTTATTCCATAAAATAATTAAATAAAAAAGAAGAAAAGAGAAACACGTGGCTGTAACAATCCTAAAGTCGTGGCGAGGTCGGCTTCATGTCTCTGTGACGTCAGTTCAGACAGAGTTTGAAGCTTTGTTGCAGATCAGCAGAGAAAAAAAAGCTGTTTACAGTTTAAAGAGAAGAAACAAGCTCCGGGTTATTTTTAGACTTTTTCTTATTGTCAACAAATCTCATGAAAACTCAGAAACCATGAACTGATCAGACGAGAAACAGAAACGTCCACATTTTACAAAGACTGAACATATCGACACATCCTTGTTTAGATAGTTTGTTCTTTTCTTTAACTGACTAACTCCAAATGAAACTTTAAGTGCTTCAGTACAAAGTGTTTGACAACCAGCGACTGTGACCACATCATGGAGAAACAATAACGAGGTCACGACAACTACCGGCGTGTTGTGTTCAGTTTCCTTCGCTAAAGTGATTTTCTAACATGTTGAACGTTTCGAGCTAAAATACAAAATGTTTTCATGATCATTGTTATTATTGCTGATGTCAAAATTGTGACTTAAAGCTACTGAAGTGCGAGAGACGCCCAGAGGCCGAGCTCAGATATGTAAAACGCAGGATTAACAGTGCAAACGTTAGATGGCAGACACATCAATATGATATAGAATCTATTACAGATCTGTGTGCAGCTTCAGTGCTGCATAGAAAGCCTCCATTCATCTTCATTGGTGCTACAGCTGGCCTGAGAGAGAGAGTGTGTGTGTGTGTGTGTGTTCATGTGTGTTCATGTGCTTGTGGCTTAGACAAAAGTATAATTCAGCCGGACTTAGTGCAAGAATTGGCAGTCGGAGTAATTCGGCATTTAAATCTAATTTAAAAAACAAAAATCCTCTTAGCGAGACGTGATTTGGAAAATTAATTAAATCCAACCGTGAAAATCAGATAAAGAGAAAAGCAGAAAAGAAGCAGATACAGAAAGAAAAAAGAAAAACATACTGACTGATGTTTGTAGGACAGGAAGAGCAGGATCCTCCTTCTGTGTTTACAGGCTCAGTGATGTTCATCCTGCTTTAAAGGAAAAATCCACCCTGATCAAATCTGAACAGTAAATTTGGCCTTTTGCGATTGTGGGTTTTGCGTCTCATCGATTTGGGAACTGGAATAATGACATATTTAGAATTCACTCAGTAGAACTGAGCCGAGGCCCAACAGTCTGAAACTGCTTTTAAATAGATCCAGGAATTATTCTTTGAGGAATCAAGGAAACATCTCACAATGTCAAAGAATTTGAAACAAATAAATCTGGATCTACCTCCTGATCCACATTCTTCCCTGAGTCACATCACAACTTTCCACCAAGTTTCATGGAAACTCTCACCGTCTGTCTCATGGACAAATGGACAAACGGACAGAAAGATAACCTTGACGGAGATAATGACTTCCTCAGGACATGGAACGTTTGACTCAGAGTCCTGTTGTTTCTTTGCCTCCTCCTCTGGGCAAAGTAAATTTAGCAAAGAGCACAGTAGATATTTGAGTTCTTTGACCTTGATCCCGTCTGAATGTGGCTTTAGATGCTTTGTTGAGTTTCTGGCAGCGTCTGGAATGACATCATCCAAACTTTAAATGAGCACCTTGAGAACACAACGTCTTCTTACGTCCCTGGGTTGTTTTTTCAGTTATAAATACAGTTCACCGGCCACTTGAACATGTAAAAGACACTGAATTCAGAAGAAAACATAAGAAAGGGTGGATTTTTCCTTTAACAGTTGCATAATTGTTTGTCCATCATATCAAACCTGTGGTATTTCCCCCCCCGTGCTTCAGGATCTGACTGTAGATGTGAAGGATGATGACTCTGAGGATGTAAACACCTTTTCATCTTAAACTTTGTCCTCCAGGCAGATTTATAGCCTCTGACACGAACGTCATGATTTCCACACCGTGAACTCGTGTGTCTGCGTCTGTCGGCACCAACGAGACAGTTTCAGTCCCACTGGAATCATCCAGTCTCTCGTTTTGGTCCGAGAGTCTTTGCGGGTAATTCATTCAAGTAAGTGAGTGAGTTCTTTTTTTGGTCGCATGGTTCTTTCAAGGTTGGCCCTTCCACGTGTGTGTCCGTCTGTCCGAGCCATGTCGTCCCTTCTTCTTCTTCCCCCTCGTCTCGGTCTTTACCTGACGTCGTGGAAGTAGAGGTTGGCACATAGACACAGCAGCACGATGGACGCCAGCATGTAATAGATCAGGTTCCTGAATTTAGGCTCCAGATCTCCCTGTCGGTACCAGAATATCTGAGGGAGGGAGAGAGACACGGATTCAACCCAACGTTCATTTAAAAGAATTTAAAGAGAGAGAGAAAGGTGACGGGTTGCTGCATTTAAACTAATACGCCATTTTGTATTTTTGCATTTTGCCGTGTCTGTGTTTGTTACCAGCACTATGGTGGATCCACAGGTTAACAGGATGCAGACAGCAAAGAAGACATTTAACGGTCGCGGAGGCAACGAGGGGAACACGAAGGACCCGACCACAGTCACCTGGAAAACAAACAGAGACACGTTCGTTATGAAACAACAAAAACACGTTTCCAGAATTCTTATGTGTTTCTAAAACCTCCCGACGCTGCTTCAGTCTCGATTTGGTCCTGAAATGTTCTGGAGGTTCTGAGTCAGTTGCTCCAGAACATTTTTCCATGTAAACTTACTAGAACAACCAGAGAAGTGAATCCTCCCACTGCCAGGTTGATTATTCGATCCTGTGAGAAAAGACGAAGAGTTAAATTCATCAGTTCATATTCAAACATCTTTAACACACAAGTGAACAAAACACACACAGCAGAACCGAATTCAACTGATGAAGGTTGACTGTAATGATGTTAGAGGTGAAACAGCCTCTAGTTTCAGACACACACACACACACACACACACACACACACACACACACACACACACAGAGAGAGAGAGAGAGAGAGAGAGAGAGAGAGAGAGAGAGAGACGCTCTCTTCCAGCAGGTTCCTACCCGAGCGGACGTCTCCCCGAACAGAGGTCTGTTGTCGGGGCCGCTGGTTCCGTACGTCCTGCTGTTGAAGTCGTCCATGCCCGGTTCGGCAGGCACACACTCAGCACCGACTGTTTGCCTCTCAGCAGCGCCACCTCCTGGACACACCGGGCCGGCGCCGCATGCTCGCTGGTCTCCCTCCAGCTGCCTCCCTCTGCTCAGCGTCAGGGGAAGATGTCAGTGTCAACAGCCTGATGGAGACATTGTGGGTTCTGGTGGACTCTGCTGGACCGGTACACTTCTAACTTCACCTGTGTGACGGGACGGACAGAAACTATCATCAGCTTGTAACTACAGCGATAAAACTTGCCAACAATTTAGAAACATAAAGGTTTTTCTGACCGAGGAGGGAGCCGCTTTCCTTCCCCCGCAGAAACGAAAACCCAGAATCAACAGAAAACTGATTTTATTGGCGTTCTTCCTGCTTCACTTCCTCTTTTTTCAGGTGCGATAACAAACCGCGGTCACTTCCGTCTCTGAGCAGATGCTGCTGATGACGACAGATAAATAACAAAAAGAGGAACAAACAGAACAAACTGAGCTTTCTTCACTCTGACTCAGCCGCATGAGAGAGTTTCTTTTAACGCCTCAGAAAGATGAGGAACCTGTGATTTAAGAAACAGCTCGAGCTAAAATCTTTTAAAAAGGTTAAATTCACTATTTTTCACGTCATGTGACCACTCGAGCGTTGAAAGAGGATTTGTTTGCAGCCGTTATTAATCCTGTTATTATTTTATTGAAAGTTAAACAGTCCAAAGGGTTTCTTGTGAGTTAAACATCCAGATCCAGAATTTGTTTTTTAATGTGACGATCTCAAACAAAGCCATAAAAAAATGAATATTATTATTTCTGAATTTAACTGAGATGAAAGCAGTAAACCAATATTTCCACCGCAGCACAGACGTTACAGTGCCTGTTAAATACTAAAGTACCATCCTGTCACAGTTTTTGAATTTCACAAAGTCTCAAACTCAATTTTAAATTTCCAATATTTCAGGGACGAACACAAATGTCCCCATTGTGGGACTGATGAAGGACTTCTTATCTTAAGACAGAAGAAGAGAAGCATCATCAGCTCACAGCAGAGCACAGAGGGGAGGGTTGAAGTTTGTTGAGTTGAGTTTTTTTTAATGAAACCTGCTCACTTCCATTTTCCGTTTGGACTCAGGAGTATTCAGAGCAAGGTTAACAACAAAACTTAAGTCGCTTCATCTTAATCTTTTCAGAGAGGATGATGCTTACAGGAGATCAGGTTCACAACATCTCTACAAAAGATTTAAAAAAAAAAAAACCTTCTCTCACACCAGATTCAGCCGACATCTTCACGCAGAGTGAAAACAACCGTTTTCACAAAGACGCCAGCTGCAGCCGTTCCTTCCTTTCTGGGTGAGGAGGCAGCGGCAGAGGAAATAAAACCGTCACTGAGCTTTCTCAGCAGAAAACACACAGGGTGGAAAACAAGAGGTTCATTATGAACGAGAGTGAACCTGGCCTAAAGCGACATTCCTCCACAGCCTTGTGATTCACTAGGCCTCTTAAGAAGAGACCCCGCGATTTAACCGCGCTGAGATGGAAAACATTTGGTTCACATGTGAGCTGAAAGGACTCGCTTATAAACTAAACTAATCTGGTTAAAGTCAGTTCTTAACCAGCAGGTAAATGTAGCTGGTAAAAGAATATTTGATGTGTTATATGATCTGCTGCTCAGGAAAAGAAATCATTTGACATCAGGCTGCAACGCATGATGATTTCCATCATCAAATGAACAGAGCAATTAATTTGTAGATTAATCGATTAAAAATTTTAGTTCAAAGAAATAAAAAGTGATCATCACAAGATCTGAGAAACGTCTTGTTTTGTGTGAGTAAGAGAAAAATCCCCGATGACTGAGAAACAAAACCAACATTCACATTTCAGAGCCTAGAAACAGAGAATGTTTGGCTCTTTGTTGAGATGATCACTGTTTTAATTAAATAGATATTTCTATTAAATGAAGCTTATTTAAACCGGTGAAGATTTATCTTTGGTTTGAGAGTCACAAATTAAGTTTCAACTCAAATTCTGCCAAAAAGAGCAACAGGACTTTCTCTGTTTCAAACAGATTAAAACTGAAGCTGATTTAATAACTTCTAGAGCTTAACATTTTAATTGAATTTATTTAAAACTTCCTCAGTTTGTCTGACCAAGAAATTCACATATTTACCATTTTTGTCTTTGATTATTAAAATACAGCTGCACCACAGATAAATCCAGTTAATGTGTATTTAACATGAGATTCACCTTCTTGTATCTACAGATATCAGCACGTAAAGTTCACTTTTCCTCCCCCACACCCACGAGGTGCAGTGACGGTCGGTACCGAGCACCAGTGGTGAACCGCAAATATCTGAACCCCGTGCACGAGCAGCGTGAGTGAACCTCGTAGCCTTTAAATGCGTCCATTGTCACGCCAACAAACAACTGAATCAGCAGATAAACCAATGTATATGTAGAGTGTCAGTCTGTTGTTACTGACTCTTAATCTGGCTGACATCTGAATGTCCATGTAAACGTGATTACCGTGGTACTTCACTGAAATCATGATTCATTTGCAGAAAGCAGGAAAAATCAATTTCTAACAAATGGTGTAGAAAACTAAAGGCTGAACCAAAACCATTTTATTATTGATGAGTCCATTGATTTCAGCTTCTAAACCATTAAGATTCTTAGTTTTTCTGTATTGTATATACCTTTGCAGTTTAAATATATATATAATAACCCAAACCTTAATATTATTATACATCATCTATCATTGACATCTTTTAAATCACTAATTAAAACAGCACTTCATTAATCCTCGTGCACGTGTTGTCTGTTTAATTATTTTACTGTTATAGTTTATGTATAGTACTAATGAACTAATCATAATAATAAGATTTATTTGCAGAGAACTGGAGAAACCACAATAGAACTGAACTTTGAACTGTTTGAATAAAGAGTATTCATCTCATCCTCAGCTGACTCAGGATCTGTCAAACTGGTTCCTCAGCTCACAACACTTCCAACATGACGTCACTGACTGTGTTGAGTTTTACTGTCAACACAAATACACGTGAACAAAGTAAAAAGTAAAAAGTACACGTTACCTCAGTTTGAAAGAGAGAGCGTGAACTTTTGGCTCCTGAAGCTTCACAGTCACCACATCAACAGTTAGCTTAGTCAGTAGATTATCATGCTAACAGGTAGCACCTGAGCCACACAGCTCGTCACCTGCGGGTTACCTCCACCTCTCCACCCTCAGGTCGCTGCCTCACCCGCCATGTTGTTGTTCCAACACGACAACAACACACGTCCGGATAAAGTCCCATCACCAGGCTCAACGTTAGCTAACCGGAGCTGCACCGTTACCAGGCCAACTGAGGAGCTAACGGAGCTAAGCTAGCTCCTCCGCCGCTGCAGAGGAATCAACTAAAGCTGGTTGGTTAAGTTAACCAGCAGGTAACCTGGTTAACTTAACCAACCCCCCCCCCCCCCCCCCCCCCCCACACACACACAGTCACTGACCTCACAGAGGAACCAGAGTCCGGAGCAGCAGCAGGAGACTGACCGTTAAAGGGAACAGCTTCAGTTCA